ATGCGTGTGCGTTGATTGCAGCCCTTTTGCAAGATAATGGAAAGTGCGTATTATGTCAATTTATCGCAGTGAATCTATTTGTGTCAGTTTTGGATGTTTTAGTGAGCATGACTCGGGACATTTACTAAAATACAAGAACATGCATGCGCTTAAAGAAGGGCGTAAAAGTGTGGGAACCAAACGAACATCGCTTTCCGCAAGGTCTGGTCTTCTTGAACCAGTTGCCCAATCCTCCACCTTTGCGGGACTTTCTGGGGGACCTGCCGGAGAAGCTGCAGCGGTACGATTTGGAGGGGCTGAGCAAGTTGAAAAATGCAGTGCGACATAGTGCGACCCAAAAACTATTCCGAAAAATATGCAATCAAACACAAAAACCATGTGGCGAGGATGACATGGAGTTATTCTCCCAGAAGAAGTACGATATTGGAGGCCCCTTTTCTTGCAAAACATGGTGCTTGAGCGCTTCAAACCTTCTTGTCCTGTGCTGGGTTCACACTGACATGAAAGCAAGTAAAATTTAACTAAGTAAGGAGGCAGGTAAAGACAGCTTTATTGTTTTTTAGGAGATTGGAAACTCATTGCAGAGAACTTTGTCGATTTCTACCACATCGATGCAGTGCATCCAGAACTCTCAAGGTGCACTTGGTGAATCTCTTCATCATCACAGGATCTTTTGAGCCCTCCCTTAATCAATTAAGTAGGCGCCTACTTAATTGAGGGACTAAACACGTTCCTAACTAGTTAAGCTACTACACATGCATGCAGGATAGTTGTTCACGCTTCTTCAGGGGAAGTTCCTTCTGCTTGAGGGGGTGGAGCTTCCTTGAAGAAGTGCTTACACTATTCATATGGTTCCTAGAGTTTTAGGGAAACTGACAGTGTTGCTCAGTGTGGCAGGTTTTCTCGTGTAGATGATCACCTTCCATACCAAGGTGCCTTACATCTGTTGTGGGTTGCACGGGCTGCTACCAGTCAGATGTAAAGAGCAGAGGTTTCACCTGCATGTTTTCCAGAGAATTGGGCACGCTCATTTGCGTCTCACTTGTCATGGATGGTTGCGCGCGAGGTAGTAAGAAGTAATTAGTGAGGTCCAGTCGCTTTCAAGTTCCGAAAAGAAAGAAAACAGAAAGAACAAACCAAGGAAGATAGGTCATGCAAGGTCTCAAGATGTCCAGAAGGAAAAGAACAAAGACAAGGACGGAAAAGACTCGAATAGAAGAAACGCAAAGAAAGAGAGGCATAAAGGAAGGAGGGAAGGGAAGGGAAGGGACGGGAAGGGAAGGGAAAGTGGCGACTTCCAAGACAACTAAACCTTTTGGCGGAAGGTGATGGCCAATATGTGGGCTTTGTGACATCGCCTTTGACTGATTGTGGAGGACCAGGTGTGCAGGCCTTAATTCACAAGGCACTAGCTTGCCAGCTGTACAGGCTCAACTTTTTTGAGCCGGTGTTTGCTGTATACCACAAGTCTGCTTCAAGGACAGCGTGAAGTTCAACAGGTTTCCAAGACTGCGGGAAGTTGAGCTAGATTCTCAGTCATGAGTTTGAGAACTTTGACTGCCTGTGGTGCACAAGCACGTTTCTGAGGTCTCAGGCGGCTTTGTTCTTCCATATCTTCCCCAATGTCTCTGCCACTCGCCTCCAACGCTTTCATAAAGCTTTTATCATTGACACTTCCCCATTTGACCTTTTATGTGGAACCGACATCAAGCTGATGTCCACAGGTGACAATCTATCCACACTCAGCCTGGGACTTGTTACTGACATTGTCGTTCCAAAGGATGCACCTGCACCCAGCTTAGCTCCTAGGTGTACACCTTGCTGACCCTACCGTCCAAGACACCTGGACGGACAGAGGAGCCTGACAAGTTCGATGATTTGGTTTGCACTTGCACCCATAAGTCCTTTCTAAGATTGGAGTCTATCAGAGGAGAAAAGAAGGTAAGGGCTGAGTGGTGCCAAAGTTTCACTCTCTTAGACCACAGGACTTGAGCCAAGACAAACACCCTTCTCTCTCACTCTTCCTCTCTTTGTTCAACCGCAACACTTTCCATGCTGTCAAAAACAGCGCTCCCGCTGTAAAACTCTTCGCTGCGATGCAGTTTGTTTCTCCTGCTGCAGAAGCAGTGGTTTTAAGGTGTTGTGCAACTCAATTAAGTCTCTACTCCCGCCGCTTCTTGAATTCTCTTGTCAGGGATCTTCTTCCAAACAACATGTCATCCATTCCAAACATTTCCAGACGCGAATTGCATGAGGATACACCCTTTCCTATAGTTTGGTTGCACCATTTTTTTCCTCTCAATGCAGAGATCAGTAGTAGCCTCTGTTTGACGAACTTCAATGGGGAGACAAGGCTAGACCAGGATACACAAGAGCATACAGAGTATATATAATGTTTGACAAAATTATAGCCAGATCAGCCAGATCACAGATCGCAAGGAGAAGCTGACCCTGCTCATGGCGCCACAAGCGCGCAAGGCTGATGTGAGTGAAGATGAGCAGCAAACCCAGATGGGCCGCTCCAATGCCACAGGACACAGCAACCAAGTGGTGGGTGGGAAGGATGCAAAGTCTTTACAAAGATCATCCTGACAATGACAACTGCACAGCAGAACGTTAGCACCAAGGCATACAGAGAGATGTCAAGCCTTGATGGACTTCGTCACGAACATCAATGATGAGGACATAGTTTGTTTGACAGGGTAGACCACTCGTAAGGACCGGAAGCAGATGTCGGTCTAAGTAGTGCAGGCACCAATCAGAAGCTAAAATGCAAGGAGGCAGTAGAACCCTTGCTGTAGTAGCAGTTGAGGGTGGAAGAAGCAATGCAGTATCAATGTCTTGATTTCACAACCCGAGCAATTTGCTCGCAGCCTCTTCCAGGACGTAGTGGCAATTGAAAATTTGCAGATTGGATTAGCAAACTTGGAGGGGCAAGGCTGGAAATCGCCTTATTCGCTGTGTGGCTCTAACCAGCAAAATTGCCAGGCATGCATGGCCAGTTCTTGCCAAAGTACGACTGGCCAGTGCATCGTTTCCAAAACATGGCCCTGCTGCCCGGTTTTCTGACACTTCTAGTTTGCTCCTGGCTGTCTTCATCCATTCGCCTTCTTGATGATGCTTCTGCTGCCTTGGCAGGTCTTGAGTGGCTTAGATGGCGATGCTCTGCGCGAGGACCCTGATTCTGAACTCGTTCTCCTTTGTGGTATTTCATTGAGAAGCGAACAAACACCATTATCTGTATCCTCCAACACATATTTTTGTGTAGCAAAATATGGTAGATATTACAGACATGGGACATGGAGCATGGAGCTCCTAAGAAGACCTGGTTGAGTAAGGGAGTCTACGCACCTGGGCCCAGCTTGGCTTCGGAGAGTGTCTTCCGCCTAGCAGACTTTTTGCATGTATTTGCTGGGCAGGAATTTATGCCAAAACTGGGCAATGCGTTTGAGCAACAGGCGTGTCACAATTGCTCAGTAACCAAGTCTTGCTGTGGGACCCTTCGCTTTGAATCAAATTGAGAATTAATCGGATAATTTATCAAGATTATATCAATATTTAAGTTCCCAAAAAATCTAGGAACCAAATGAATAGCGCGAGCGCTTCTTCAATCAAACTCCCCCCCGCCGCCTTTACGGCGGCGGGGAGAACTTCCTTGAAGAGGGGTGAGCTATCCTGCTTTCTTGTAGCTACCTAGCTTCTAGCTAGCTACCTCCCTAGCCACTACGTACCTCTACTCGGCCCTCCCCCCCGGACGAAAGAAAAAGAGATACTGTAACATATATTCAGTATTAGGAGAGAGGAGCGGGCTAAAAAAAGAGGAGAATTTGCCAACTTTGTGCCCGGTAGGTCCTGAGCGGTTGAGTGGTGACTGTGCTTGGCCGGGTGATAGAGGAGTAGAGGATGCTGTTTCTGAACAGATCAAGTAGTTTCTGAGTCATACAGTCTAGAGGCTTCCAGCCTCTGGATCAATTGGCAAGCATGACGACTTGTAGATAGTGTGAATAATGTAAATAGGATTGTCAATTAGCTTGCGCCGCATTTGATGGTAGGCTGGTTGGGGTCGTCATTGTGGCGACTTCCTAACCTCCAGCCCTTGCAACTCTTTTGTGCACATGCGGCGCATGCTTCTCAAAGCCGTGAGGTTCCTTTGGCCTTACGCATCTCATCATGACGGCTGGTTTCTGCACATCTTTTCCCTGGCACACTGATGCTTTTTTGAAGAAGCCTCTCAGTGTCTCATGTTTTAGGCTCATTGCCCTTGCCTACACAGCCATGCCCTCGATGAAGATTTCCCAAGTTCCCACTGCGAATACAAAAGGTAGCGTTATGAAGCATCAACACCTGTCGTATGACTGCACACCTTCATTGATTTAATCGCGTTCCAGTCTTTTGTTGTGGCCTTCGACAGAGCTAGCAGAGCCCTTTTGAAAAAATCAGCTTTCGGTAGCTGGATCAATTGGGCCTGCAGGAGCGAGTAGCAAGCAGTGGAAGATCACTAAAAGAGTCTTCCACTTAGGCTCAGCGCAGAGTGCACTGAACATGCACAATTCGTCATTTCTTCGCTCACGCCAGGGAACGTTGTCTCTTCTCAACTGTGAGAGGAGTCACGCGTTTCTCTTCTGGACTAGGAGGGAGAGGAGTAGCGGAAAGTCTGTGGTCAGATGCTGCAATCAGTACTGCACTGTCCTTTTTTCCTCGCTTGATATTTAGTTACCCCTTTTGTTTATGTGTTTCTTTATTTAGCCTGATGAACTATGCTGAAATCAATTGCGAAATGTTCAATTATTTACAATTTGTATCACTGCATTCTACCTCATGGTTTGGGTAGCGCAGTGTTGGGGCTTCAGACTCAGACTTCCAGCTGCAGAGTGTTCACAGACTGACGGTGGGATGGTCAGACTTGATAACAGTGGTGAGTTGTTGCAATGTCCCTTCTTTAGTGTGGCTTTCGGAAACAAAGGACGACGGCAAGATTATGATTGTTTTTTTTGCGTTTTCCAAACGTGAATCAATGGTAATGCGGCGTGCATTGCTCAGCACATTGCAATCTTTCTCCTTTGAAAAGGCGGCCGTGCCTTGGCTCACAATGATCCGCAGAGCATATACATGATAGATCATGATAATTTAGTAATTACTGTAAAGACACCATTGCAAATTTGTCATGCTTCAAAACGGAGTGACTCGAATCTGGATACGCTCGCTGCAAGGTGCTCAATGTGGCAGCGAAACTCAATGTCTCGATACGCCACTTCCATGGACACGTGAGAAAGGTGAAGTTGGCAAACACCACTGCAGGCCTTCAAGCCTTCGCCAGTCTTTGAAATGCATGCGGCATAATGTGCCGAGGTGATCCGAGGTGATCTGAGGTGATGCGAGGTGTTCGTACACCCTGAGGTGGACATTTTACAATGCCTTCGAGACGTGGTGCATTGAGCAGCTGTGGAGAAGATGACAATGCCTCGTGACCAAGTATGAGAGCAAGGCATGCTGTGCAGTGCATACATTGGGGCATACATTTGCATATGAAAACTCAGAAAGAGGATATGAAACAAGCTTGCTGCCGGCAGGAGTCTTTTGTGCTGCCAATAAGGCCATCACAGTGTGGACAACCGAAGATGCTCCAGACAAAGCCCAGAAAATAGTGGCAGCAAGCAATGCTGATGTGCCAGATGCAGAGGCGTGTGACACTTGCACGGACTTGTGCAGGTGCATACGATAGCCCTCAAACCACTACGATGACTTTTTCTTTTACTTTTGTGTATTTTTCTTCGGAAGGGCCTAAACCCCTTTCAATTCAAGCAAGGTTGTGGTGGAGGCGATCCATAGCTACTACTGGTGGGATGGCAAGGTGCACTTCGACCCTGAGTGGCGGGTGGCTGTTACTACCGTTGTTCCTTAGCTCACACTTTATTTTTAGACAATTTTAGACCTCCTTTAGATTTCCTTTTCTTCCATTGGATATTTTGGATTTTGTTGTTGACACCAATTTGTAGGTTTCACTGTGCATCCGTGTTGGGCAGCTTTGTTCCTGCACCTTGTGGTTTTGTACTGCCGCCATTTGATGCACTTGCTTTTTGTTTGGGATACGTCACCCTCAACTTCTCTTCTACTTCAACCAGCCTGAGTAGCTCTTGAAGTGATGTCAAAAGAGGCACCATTTGAGACGGTGAAGGATGCCATCGGGAAGGTTCACAGCTACGATCTTCCGATGATGATTTACAACTTGGCTGATGTGCCCGATCAACATATGTACTGGTCCCTTGGCAGCCTTTGTAATTGGGCCGGCAGCTTCATGAAGTTGTTGACATCGTGACTTGAATGAGAAAAGACATGAAGTCACTGGACTTGCAACTTCAAGAGTCCGTACTATGCACTGGATGCAGGCAAATTCAACAGAACGTGCCCAGTATAGCTTAGGAAGGGCATTGTTCAACTTTCTACACATGATGCAACTGAGCTTGCGGAGCCTTGGCACGTTAAACATTCCTCCTGCTTTACCATCCTTAGCTGACTTGCTCCTATTCTTGGATTATATATACCGCATCCAAATCATTCTTGCAGCGTAAAACCAATAGTGCCCTTCTGTTTAGGGGAAGCTCGTGGAGCAACGAGTTGTGGCATGTGCGCAGACGACCTCCACGGGGCTTTTGGCTGTGAAGACAGTGGATTTGGCATCGCGGATTTGGCACGGTTTTCTCGGGTCTCAGACCCACATCGTTCACGAGTTGTTTGTCTGTACTCGCAAGGGAAAGACTCCACAGCTAGAACGTTTATCCGGTCCACAGTGTGCCAGTCTAAGGTTGGATTGGAGAACATGTTTGAATGAAGAGCTAGATTGCAGAGCCTGCCTAGCCATTCTGGTCCTTTGCGCAGACTCCTCATATAAGATGTCCGTGATGTGACATGTGATATGTGTCCCCTAAATTGTGACAGCTCGTATTCGATGGCGACCGGGGATGAGTAGTGTCAGCAAGAAAAGGAGCAGATCTAAACTTCTAAACCTAGACGAGTTTGTCGAAGTGAGTTTCGCAGTTCACTTGCAGCTAGAGAGCCGACTCTAGGGCTAACTTGCACAATATGCTGCAAAAGGTTCCTGCCCTTTGTGAAGCCTCTGTCAGCGATTTGTACATTGCGGCTCAGGTCCTGAAGTACAAGGCTTTGGTGGACGCAAGCTCCAATGCAGCAGTGGCATGGGCAGCGATTGGCGGAAACGAGGGCTATTTGAAATGGCTTGAAGACGAGTGTATTGGAGTCAAGTAGGCTTGTTGGCACTTATCAAAATCTTGGTGCCAGAGTTCTCTCCGGTGCAAAACTTGCACAGAGGCTGTAGCACTGCCAGGGCAAAGAATTGTGCAGGATTTGCTGCATGCTACCTGGTACGTGGTGCCCATGCTTCGACTGAAGAAGGGCTTGTGCTCAACACACTTTCGGTTGACCGTGTTCCGCATAATAATCCAAACTGCATAGGCTGGCATGGCACAGTCCGCATCTTGAGTTTGACCAGCTTTTGGAAGAACTTCTGTCCAAGCACATGTGTGGATATTTAAAAGAGTGCAGATTTGGAGAATTACATATTAGATGCAGATTACATATTACTAGATTTCATAAAAACATGCAGATCATTTCTCGGACTTGATGTTTTGATGAACACGATCGACAGAATTGAAAGCACATGTAGACACATGTAGACATTCCAAAGGACCCTCCAGCGTTACGCATCACAAACCGTTTCTGACAGCGAGAATACCGCCGAAGCTTTACCCAAACCCACCCGGCCACGCTAAGAGCGCTTCCCGGCCCAACCGCTTTCCCTCAAACTGTTTGACACAGAGCATGTAACACTGAGTTTCACAAAAAAGACGAAAACAAAAAACGCCGTTTCATTGAGTTTCACTTGTTTCGATCCATGTCACAATAATCCGTCCAATGAAGCCCTTATGGCTCGTGTCAACAGCGACAATCGTAGTGGCGGAGGGCCTGGAGTGCATTGCTTTCGACAAGTCGCAAACACACCTGCACGGTGCAAAGCCTCGAGTTTTTCTGACTATGTTCAGAAATTTCAGGTGTTGCAGGCGTCCACATATTTCTTGCCTTCCGGTGCTTGACTCAGGATGTTTTGTTCAACTGCGGGTAGATTCAAAGGTTTAATCACAGCACGTATTTTGTCCAGATTTCGTCTGCAAGGCTGGCTTGAAAGCAGAGTTGATTTGGGACCGCTTGTCCTCAGGTATTTCCTTGGGCCAGGTGGTCTTGGCGACTGTCATGCTCCCACTAGCTTGCTGACAATATCTGAATCCAATAGCTAAGCTCTGGACACGCTGTCTTAAGCGGCAGATCTTGCTCTTCAGGTGGTCCTTTCCGTCTTGCTCTTCTGGATCCCAAAGTTAGCAGACCCAGACTAGACTTGCATACGGATCGGTGCAACCTAATGCGCTTAAAGCAGGGATATTGCAGACTCTTGCCCGGCCCTTGCCTCAGGCCTTCCATGTGTCAGTTCAGCAGCTGAGGACATGGATCCAAAGTTTGCAGAAGCACTTCAGCAGCAAGGTGCCATTGGTAGCGATGCTCCTGTTACTAGTAGCTTCTAGCTAGTAGTAATGCCCTTGTTACTAGTAGCAAGGTGCCATTGGTGCCATGGCTCTCCCGTGTGTTCCTCGTTGGAATTCGCCCGATCATGCCTTGTGAGGAGGTGCCTTTGCTCACTTCGACCCCGGAGCCCTTCTCAGAGGAGACAACAAAGATGACTGAGAGAAGTTACTCGCTCGGGCGACGAGATTCAAGATGGGACTACATACTGGAAGGCAGGTGTCCCCAATAGAAGCAAGGATAACGGATATGTCCCCAGGTGTTTACCCCTTTGGTCCTTTGGCCTCTTGATGTTCTTTGGGCCCTGGTAACTTTGTCCTTGGTCCTTCTCTGCGGCTCCCAAACAACGGACATAGCATCCATTGGAACAGAATGGATTGCGTTTCGAGCCAGCTCTACATGCCATAGGAGATTTGGTAGTTTTATGGGTTCTGGGCCTCTTGGGATGGTTAGAAGCTCCCCATGCTTTGCTTCGGATCTCCCCTTCCCAGCCACAGGAGTCAAGATCTACCAGATGTTCTTGCTTGATTGCTTTTTGGGGAGGGCACCACGTGCCAGTGTTCTAAAGCCAATCCTGAAGCCAGGCTGCAACTCCCTGCAAAAGGAACTCCCAAAAGGATCCAAAAGGCACGTCAGACCGTTTCTCAACACCAACCAAACCGGATCCCAGCCTCTGAAGTTGGTAAATACTGGTCAAGCTGGAAACGCTCAGCCAAACTGGGTCCCAGCCTCAAGCCTTAAACAATCCAGTGACATCCCATCTTGTTACTTTAGTAGCTTCTTGTTACTACTAGTAAGGCACTTGTTACTACTAGTAAGGCACCTTGTTACTACTAGTAAAGCACCTTGTTACTAGTAGCTTCTTGTTACGTCCAAACCCTTCTGATCCCTCGTCGCCTTTTCGTTTTTCCTTACAGGAGGCTCCATCAAGGCTGAGGGAAGAGGCCAGGCTCTCCGAGAAGAGCAGCAAAGCTCTTCGAGAGAAAGTGATGAGGAGAAGATCTTGGCAATTCCACTGCCATGTGTCATAAGTTTCCCAAACATATAGGACCCAAATCATTAAAGCCTCCAAGTCTAAGATGCTTAAGCCTTAGTTAGGCTTAAGCTTAGTAGTTCCCCCTAATATAGATAAGTTAAGTTTCCCTACAAATCTAGGAACCAAATGATTAGTGTGAGCGCTTCCTTGAAGAAGCGTGAGCTATCCTGCGTCAATGTAGGTAGTAGCGTACTAGTAGCTACTAGTTACTAGCCACCTCTCCCAAGAAAAAGAAAGTGACGTAGCTACTCCTGAGCCTCACGGCCTGTGCCCCCCCAGCTGCAATTTATGTCAGGCTTTGGAGCGTCGCCCAAAGCCGCGGCATCAACTCAGGTCACACAGTCAGCACCAGTCGAACGTATCGGCAATCAAAGTAAAAAACAATTATATACTGTATATATATATATATTTTTTTTTTTTTAAACTTAGATAACCCTTCAAAGGTGGAAGGGACACATTTAAGCTGAGGCTAGCTCGCTCTGCCCAAGAGGTGGTGACATCCTGGGCCCCTTGGAACAAGGATTGGTTTCATTCTTTCATTGTTTTCGTTCGCCTTCTGCACTCAGGTGGCTGTTCTCATGGCAGGTGTAGACTTGGTCGGGCACCTGTCTGTACTTATCGCTTGAAACAAAAGAGAACCTTTAGAGATCTATCTCTGTCTTCTGTTCCTCTCTAGGTTGTGAATAGACAATTGATGCTTGTTCGAGCAGAGCCTCCTTTGCTACTCCTTGGTAATGAGGCCAGGAATCCACGTGTGATTGTTTGACAGTTGAGTGGCTTTTGCAAAGAAAACACGAAAACAAGCAAAAAAGATGATTCAGGCACAGCAAAGACAGCAATGTGAGATGATTGGTTGTTGCAGGTCCCTAGAAGTGAATGAAACCAATCAAATTGTAGCAATGAAGGCTGCCCGGAATCCACTCTGGCTTTTCATGTCTCAGGAGGTCCAGATTGCCGAGATTTCAATTCAACTGCAGGGACCAGCTTCCCTGGCTGAGTTGGTTTCAAGAGTTGGAGATCTGAAATTTTGCGTCTTTTACTGCACTGAACTGCTGATGTTTGCCAGGTCATCACTGTGCTTAGTCAAGGTGCTACGGCTGTTTGGAGTAGCTTTCTCGTTGAAAGACAGCCTCGGCAAGATTCCGATTTGGGCTCCAGGAGTCAAGTGGAGCATCGATTGTGAAGAATCTAGCGCTTTGCAGCTCGCACTTTCGCTCAAGGCTACGCACGTTGAACCTTTGGAATCTGAATCTGGCGTAAAAAAAGCCACATGCTGAAACAGCTTAAATGATGTTAAATGAGTGCCTTTGCTTGGCAAGCCCGACAAGAATTTCAGCGGTCACAGCCTGCGCAGGTTTTGCGGGCAGAGGCTTCAGGTAAGTGGAAGGAAAGGCTCGCCAGGGAAAGTGACCAAACGGACCAAACGTCAGCAGAAGCCAACAGAAAAGAACACCAATATATTACGAAAGCCAGCCGATAGGCTAGGCTTGAGCTTTTAGAGCGAACGAAGTGACTTAAGGGGGTGTGGGGGGAGGGAGGGCGCTAAAAGGCACATTTTGAGAGGGTGAACCCGGAGCTTGGTGGGGGAGAGCGCCCAAGAGCGCTCCAAAGCGAGGGTCAGAAAAGCAGTGAACATGGGGTCTGGTGATGCGAGTGATGCAATGGATGCCGAGTAGTGCATCATTAGCATCATGAAGGGCTGTGGGGGCTATTTGGACAATGGGCATTGAGCACTGGAGTGGAGACAGGCACCCATGTACAGAGCAACCCCCCTAGTCTCTACTATACTTGTACCGTTTCCTCGGTCGATTCTTCTCGCGGCGTCCACGTGCACCGAACGTTTTTCCGGCTTGGCGGCGCAGATAGATAGATAGATCGATCGATCGATAGATAGATCGATAGATAGATAGATAGACAGACAATAGATAGATAGACAGATAGATCGATAGATAGATAGAGATAGATAGATAGACAGATAGATGGATAAATTCTAGACACTACTGACTCATGACGTTGCCGTTTTGCTGGCAGCCCTGGCCAAATCTAGTCAGCCTGGGTCCACGGCCCAAAGATGCGTACCTTCCTGCGTGTGACAAACACATGCCATTGCCTTGTGACGATGGCCTCCACCAACATACAACGTATCACATTTCTCTTTCACTACTTCTTTCATACCAAACTTATCCCAAAGCCGCCCGGCTTGCTTCTCTGCTCCCTCCATCACCATTACATACGCCGCTCCGCATCCGCGGCACCGCTGAATCGCAAGCTGCCGACCATGTGTCTTGTGCCGCGATGCCCGCCAGAAAAAGAGACACTCGTTTGGTGGCTGCTGGCTTTCGTCCCCCCCGTCTCAGGTATCTATATACATATATCACCAATATATATATATACATATATATATATATAAGCGTTGCCTTTCTCATGTACTCCCCGCCCACACAAAGATTTAATGTGACGCCTTTGGTCAACTGTAGAGGCCTTTGGATCATCTTTGCCGACCACGTCCAGCAGAATGAGTGCCACGCGCATGCGTAACACGCGCACTGAAATGCTCCAGGCAAAAGCTGAACTGAACTATCTTTCCACATGCAGCTTTGCACTTGCGATTTATTGATTCATGTTGAGACCGAGCGCAGCTTTGCCACAACCTGAGGCCTGAGCAACATGCAGTGGCTCTAAGCGATCACAAGATGGAACAGCCTTCCAGACATGACACCAGCAGGTGACGCGATCCAGTGTTAGGTTCTTGCATTCCTTGGAAGCCTTTGCACACTGACATCCTGCGCAAGCTAGTTGTTTGGTTTCTCGGGCACCATGGCAGCTCGCATTCCAGGGCCCTTTCTCCAGCAGTCCCTCAGAAGCTTCAAGAGCAGTGAACGCGATTGATTTCCGATGCAATAGAAGAGAGGGTTTAA